TTTTTTTTTTTTTTTTGGGTAGGAATTTTTCTCTGAATTTAGGTGCAAAATTATTTTATTGAGAGAACTTATGACCAAAAATGAATTTTGAGAAAGAATTTTAAAGAATAAGATTCAAACATGGGCTAAATTATATTCATCAAGTATAAACGAAATAACATTCATCTTCATGCATGTATTCCATTAATTCTAAATTAAGTTAACATTTTAATTAACATTCATGTTCAAGTATGCATTTCACAATTAGTGTCCATATATACTAATTAACATTCATCTTTACGTATTTGCATCTCATTCATATTCAATTATGTATTTGTGTTATTAATTAATTCCATACAGATTTTTTTTATAGATTGATGAGGTGAAGATAAATTAAATTAAATGAAAAATCTCTTCATCGCTTAAAACAGTTGTTCTTATGTAATGTGGATTAATGACAAAAAGAAATTGGAGGAATTTTTTTTATTTGGATGGTGAGATTTTGACTCGGTCAAATCTCGGCACATCATCTGTTTGATAAATAAATCTGTAAGTTGTGATGTACAATTAGCACAATCATTATATTTTTACTAATCAAGCCCTCTCGTTTTTAGTATTGTCGAAAAGATGAAGATCAATGTCAGGGTTCAAGTTTTACCATGATTGTTCAAGTATGCATTTCACAATTAATGTCCATGTATACTAATTAACATTCATCTTTACGGATTTGCATCTCATTCATATTCAATTATGTATATGTGTTTTTAATTAATTCCAATTTTAAATTAATTAAAACTCTCATTCAAATATGCATTTCACGATTCATGTTCATCTATACTAATTAACATTCATCTTCATGGGGCTTGCTTTCACTCATATTCAATAAGTAAATTAATGTTCATTTTTTAATACGTATTTAGAATAATGATAGAAGTATGCACGCAACCCAAAATCTTCAAATAATATTTTGAAAAAAATGCTTGTTGCACATTATCATTTACAGATTTTTTTATAGATTGATGAGGTAAAGATAAATTAAATTAAAACTGAAAAATCTCTTCATCAACGGTTGTTCTTATGTAATGTGGATTAATGACAAAAAGAAATTGGAGGAGTTTTTTAATTTGGTTGGTGAGGTTTTGACTCGGTAAAATCTCGACACATCATCTGTTGGTAAATAAATCTGTAAGTTGTGACATACCATTAGCACAATCATAATATTTTTACTAATCAAGCCCTCTCTTCTTTATTATTGTCGAAAAGATGGAAGATCAAGTGTCAGGGTTCAAGTTTTACCATGATAAAATACAAAGTTTTCAATACAACTTAAGATCCCTTTGAAAAGGCTCTTGTCTTCACGTTTTAAACATAACGAATAGAATTCAAGAGACAACATAAAACGACACAAAAAGGATAATGTTGATGAATTTGGCTGCATCATTCATCAACTATACTATGATAAGACTTCAGTATTTTTTAGGTCACTATTATATTAAAGTAGTTTACATATGATGAAGGAACCTGACATATCATATAACAATTTCATTTTACCACAAAGACTCGTATCTATACATTCAAATAAAATCCAACAACTTTCTTGTCAATATACTTGAAAGCAGCAACACCAGAGCTAGAAAAGCAGAATTATGACCACGATTAACAATACAACAGAGCACGCCATAGCCTGCAAAATCAAGCCATCTCAGGGAAATTACAACCTTGGCAAGTTATAGCTAAGGTTGTGGGCAGTTGCAGTTTTTCTTCTTCATTTTTATTCCTTATTTATTTATTTTATTTTATTGAGAGATGGAGATGGCCAGATGGGTCAACGTAAATAACCGACCTACTGTTTTCTACATGCCTAGTTCCACAAAGAATGGGGACCTAAAAGCCTAAAAAATTTGAACAGAGACTCAAGTCATATAATTCACAAAGGTTGAAGGCATGAGCTGTAAATTCATGCTTTCGACAACTTGGAAAGTGAATACTTACAGCAATTGCAGAAGCAGCAAGCCCAGCTCGTTCCCTGGGATCCTTACGGTAGTAGTTCCCAAAATAAAGGATAGTAGCATAGTACCACATCAGAGGGCACAAAAAACCCAACAGAAAACTGAAACAGGATACAACCATTATATCAGAAGGAACCTGGAAAAGGAAGCATACGAAAGAATACTTACGAGAACCATCCTATTCCACAGCCAAAGCAAGGAAGAGGTCTGTCGTATGTTCCCAGTAGGGATTCCTCCTCGTCTCTAATCGGATTATACTTTTCCTTTTCATGGTCTGCAGCATCCACTCTTTGTCCTATTATTGTCACAAGATTCCATGTCAAAAGTTGAGCATTGAATAGGAGTCGATCATGACATCATCTGTAAATACTAAATACACATGTGAAAGAAGATTTTTGCATAAAACTAGATGT